ATGGTGTGCCTGTTTTTTCAGGGAGTATGCCGACAAATAGTAATCCATATCCGCTTCTGCATACCTTACCACTTTTCACGCTGGGGTTTGATATGTACATGGACGGGCGCGGTACCCTCTGTACCAGTGATATGGGTGGTGACTTTGAAGCCTACGCACCAGGGGATTTGCCTGTAACTGAAAAAGCTTGTTCGCAGCTTATATTTTTACCGTTGTTGACAGAACCGGTAGCAGGTGCCGTGTCGGGAATTTTGGATGCTATTCGCAAAGTCTCTTTACACAGCCATCTGATAAATGGTTAACATCAAAATGCCAACGGAATTTTCAGTTCGAACTCGTGCCCAGAATATAGAAATCTTCAAGACTGAACTGTTAGATGTTTTAGTTATCGGTGGTGGTATCGTCGGTGCGGGCTTAATCCGGGACCTCGCGCTCAACGGTGACATCAAAACAGGGTTGATTGAACAAGGCGATTTTGCAAGTGGAACGAGCAGTACTACCTCGCAACTTGTTCACGGTGGGTTTCGCTACCTTAAACACGATAGAGAGCTCGTTAAAATGTCGCGTAAAGAACGCGAGATTCTCCAGCGTATTGCACCGAATCTTGTCAAACCGCTCCCTTTAGCTATTCTCTTCTATAAAGGCGATCCGTACCCCTTAGTAGGCATACAACTCGCTGCGTCCTACTACAATTACCTCTCTAAAACAGATAAGGCAGAGAAATCCAAAGCGATTCGCGATCCTCAAAAGATTCAACACTTACTCGGTCCTATTGCCACGGATACCCTAAAAGGTTGTGTCATTATATGGGACAGCACTACTGACGACGCGAGATTAACCCTCGCGACACTCAAAGACGCGCATCGACATGGCGCTATTATAACCAACTATGTCCGATTTCTCGATTTTATCAATCAACCGGATACAACTGATAGCGGAAACCGTATATACAGGATAACTGCTGAAGATGTTATTTCTGGACAACGTTTTGAAATCTCCGCACGTAAAATCGTATCAGCAACAGGTCCTTGGAGCGACCATGTGTGGCGCAAAGACCCAAGTTACGACGGGATGCCACGTCTGATAATGAAAAATGCGCAAGGCATTCATATCGTTTTACCAAGATGTGGAAAAGAAGATGCATCGGGAGCCCACGGTTTAGTAATCTCTACGCAGTCAGAAAAGCGGCACGGTGGCAAATCCCGCGGCATTTTTATTCTACCCGGTCCTTACAATACCTCTATCGTCGGTACCACTGAAACAACGCCAAAGGAAGATTTATCGTCGGTGCGTGCGTCAGCTGACGAAGTGGCGTATCTACTTTCAGAAAACACAGCGAATTTTTCCAGAACAGGTGATCAACGACGATGCTATTATCGCTACTTACGCCGGTACACGTCCACTTATAGCAGAGAACCAACACGAGCGAGGATTTGAAAAGGATGACTTTGTTTCAAGAGATCACTTAATCACAGAGAGTCCAAGCGGGATAATGTATCTTTACGGTGGGAAACTTACAACGCACCGTCAGATGGCGGAAGAGACGGTGAACCATCTTGCCGAATTTCTAAACGTCCCACGCGCCTGTAAAACCGCCGATCACCCGTTGCTGAATGCAGTCGGAGAGGCATCAGGTGCTGATGCAGAGCGTCTCGTTAAACGATATGGCGAAGGGTATAGCACAATTCAAAAGTTCATCGCTGAGGATGCGACACTTGCGGAGCCAGTAACGTCGTCTCTTCCGTTCACGAAAGCTGAACTTCTCTATGCCTGTTGGGGTGAAATGGCGATCACGCTTGAAGATCTTCTCTGGCGACGCACACGGATCGGTTGGACTCCGGGGCAGGGTGTTGATATAGCACCCGAAATTGCGCAATTTTTGGGCGAGAAAAACAATTGGAATGATACCAGGATTGTAGCAGAGGTCGAGACATATCGGGAACGTATCCGTTGGTTAAATTTTAATTTTTAAATAATGCGCACCTGGACGCAGTTCCTCTACAGAGATATCACCCCTACGGGGTTCAGTTCCCGTTGAAGCAGATCGCTTATGGGCGAGTACGCCGCAAAATTGACCGGAAACCTGTCAGGAGACAATAAATGAAAATGTAAATATTTTCATTTTTTCTTCCTGCGTAAAACGAAATTATGCCTTATAGTAAAACCTACAATTACTTGGACGCTCTAAAGAGGCGAGGATACAATCCTCGCCAGCGGCGGTGGGGGCGTTGTTCACTAACTAACTGCCCACATATTTTTGGATTTTACTATAAATGGCATAATTTGTCTTTGCTTTACATTTGGAACAATGCCCAGAGTCCCATAGTTAGAGAAATATAGTAGATTTTGAAATTACTTGGACACTCGTATCATTGTGCGAACTTGTGAGGTTGTATGGCACGGATGCACAGGCTAACGGTTTCCTATGCTACAAGTGTAAACATATTTTCAGATTTTACTATAGAAGGCTTATAGTTGGAAAAATGGAAGTTTATCGTTGGGAAGACAGAAAATTTGGAAAATTTGAACCTTTACGCTTTGGCGAGGAACGCGACTTCGAGGATCTACTCGAAAAGGACGCAACACTGGTCCTCGGTGAGCCGCTTTGCGTTATCAGTAGGCAACCGCCACTGAGTACATCGAAACAGAAAATTGACCTGCTCGCGCTCGACAGACAGGGCAATTGCGTGATTATTGAACTCAAACGTGGAAAGCCCTCTCGGACGGCAATTACACAGATTTTAGAGTATGCCGCTGGGGTTTCTCAACTTTCTTTTATAGAATTGGAACAACTCGCTTACCGATGGTGCCAACAACAGGGTAAAGAGTTTTCCTCCCTTACTGCCCTACATAGTGAATTCTTTGGATATGAACCCGGCGATATTCGGAAATCGGCGTTCAACCAACGACAGCGATTGGTGCTTATTTCCGAAGGAGTAGACACGCGCGTCTTAGAAGTCGCAGAATATCTACGGGCTCTGGGCCTCGATCTCACCTATATCTCTTATTTTTCCTACCACGCCCCTGATGAAATTTTAGTCGCGACCGAGACCGTTCTGGGTGAAAAGCTCGTCAAAGAGGAAGAGCGAAGTTATGGACACACCACACAGCGGTTTATGACACTCGCATTGTTCATTGAGATGCTACAGGAGAACGAGGAACTCTCGCAAATTGCCCATGAATTTTTGGAGTACGTTGAGGCGTGCGGTGCAACACTTCGACCTCGTATCGCGAAACTCAGGATGACTTTCGGGGGACACTGGTGGCTCGACACGTATCCCTCAAGAAGGGCGACCCACTTCCGGGTTGATATCCACGGTGACTTCACACCGCTCCATGTTGTTGAGTGCAGAGCCAATTTGCCCAATGTAACAGTCAAGAATTTCGGTGTTTCTTTTAACATCGCTTCCAAAGCCCATCTTGACTATGCAATTGAGATTTTTGAACGCATCCGTAACTCCATCCTATCTTCATAGTTTTTTAATTTTACCTTGCGGAGTAATCAAGGACGTTTGAACTATTATGTGCGTTCCACCTATCCGTCCTCCATTTCATTACGGACTACAGGTTTTCAGGGTAGCATTAGAGAAAAACTCTGTTAGGCGAAAACCTCTTAACTGACCACTGACGGCTATCTACCAATTTTACCCAAGACAGCAGCCTGCAACAACGGCGCAGGCGGATTTGAGCAGGACACTGTGATACACAAAACACTTGATTTCACGCCTTGCGGATAATTAATTATACCTTGCGGAGTAATGATGTGCGTTTGAACTGTTATGTGCGTTCCACCTATCCGTCCTCCATTTCATTATGGACTACAGATTTTGAGGATAGCGTTACGGCAGCCTGCAACAACGGCGCAGGCGGATTTGAGCAGGACACTGTGATACACAAAACACTTGATTTCACGCCTTGCGGATAATTAAAAATGCGTTTTGCCCATCCTGAATTTCTCCATTTTTTATGGATAGTGCCGCTCTTGACACTGTTGCTTCTCTTTGGATTACAACAGAAACGGAAAGCACTGCTGCGATTCTACAGCAATGTGAATTCGGCACACCTGCAGCGACACAAGGTTCAAGCGGGATTGTTGCTGCTGAGTTGTTTCCTCCTAACGCTTGCGATCGCACGTCCGCAGTGGGGTGCCAAGCCTGAACCCGTTGCGGAGCAGTTAGATGTCATGCTTGCCTTGGATATTTCGACCAGTATGCTTGCGGAAGATGAAGAATCCCTTCGACGACTGACTCACGCAAAAGAGGTTATGTTTTCACTATTAGATGCGCTTGAAGGCGACCGGGTCGGATTGCTTTACTTTGCTGAGGCGAGTTTTGTCGTATGTCCTTTGACGAGTGATACTGCCACCCTCAGAGAATTCTTGGAGGCGATAACTGCCGAAACACTTACCCATAGCGGGACCCGTATCCGGAATGCTATTGAGACAGCGACCGCTCGACTCAGTTCAAATCAGGACGATACGGCAGCAATAGGCTACCGATTTCGGGGGGCAGAAGGTTCTGATTCTTTTTACAGATGGGGAGGACCACGGTGAAGAGGCAATTGAGGCAGCGAAAACTGCGACTCAGAAGGGCGTTCATATCTATTGTGTCGGTATTGGCAACGCTGTCCAGTCTGTGCCTATTCCGCTTCCGCGAGACACTGCTACAGAAACTGCACCTTACAAGCGCGATGCCAACGGACAACTCGTGCTAACAGCGTTGGATGAAACGCAACTGCGGGAAATTGCCGAAGCAGGGAACGGCAGTTATTATCACGCAAATACGGGAATTGTCCAGTTGGCGGAGGACTTAGCACGACTCGAAAAGCAGAAGTTCAGGATCCGTTCGGATGGTGAATATCAGGAACGGTTTCAATTATTTGTAGTTGGGGCGTTAATTCTGCTTATCTGTGAGTTACTTCACTTTACGATATGGGCTCGCAGATTGCATTCCTAAAAACTGCCCGTATGCTAAGTTGTGCAGGTCCTCACGTATCTGATATTACGCTTTTTTGAGCATTAATCCACCTGGACGGAAACGCATTAAGAGGATAAGAATAAGTCCAAAAATAAGATAGCGTGCGCCACCAAATTGGTATGGGATAATGGCACCGGGTCTCAGCACTTCACCTAACGATCCGAGAATCGCTGCACCTAACATTGCTCCCTTGATACTTCCCATCCCGCCGAGGACTACCATACAGAGAATGAGAATCGATTCCCAGAATTCAAAGAATGGGGCGCTAATGTTAACCTGAAATTGCGCGACGAAGCCTCCACCTAATCCGCCGATTGCCGCACTCACTGCAAACGCCAGTGCCTTATAACGACTCACATTAATTCCCATACTTTCTGCCGCCTGTTCATCTTCGCGAATCGCGACCCATGCTCTACCCACACGAGAATGCTGCAGTCGATAGGTGACAAAAACAACCAAGATTAGCAGAATAAGAATATGATAGTAATTGTGCCAATTCTGGTAGAATACCATTCCAAAAATGGCAGGGGGCGGAATATCACGAACAAATCCATTCGGAGCACCAATCAACCACTGTTCGTTTTTCACGATACGGAAAAGCAGTTCGGCGAATCCGAATGTGACAATCGCGAAATAGTCGCCCGTGAGTCGTAAAGTGGGTGCGCCACGCAACAGCCCCCACAACGCGCCATTCATTACAGCGAGGGGCAACGCAATCCAATAAGTCACCCCGAGTCGTGCCATCAATAGTCCCGCCGTGTAGCCACCGATAAGATAAAAACCGACATAGCCTAAGTCAAGGAGACCTGTGAATCCGCATACAATATTCAATCCGATAGCGAGGAGCATATAGAGATATGCGCGGACAATAATCCGAAGCATGTAATCTCCGCTTGGGAGACTCAGGTAAATATCGTGCTGCGACAAGTAGAGGGATATCGCATCTAGGCCGTACATCAATAACGGTAGAAAACAGACGAATAAGCCAAAGATGATGTTTTTCAGTGTCAATTGATTCTTCATACTAAGCACGGTGTCCTGTTGATTTGCCAAATAGTCCAGATGGACGAATAACAATTACTGCAATCATGATAATGTATGCAATTGCTAACCGGTACCCTGAGGAGATATACCCAGCTCCGAGCACTTCGGCGATTCCGATTATGATGCCGCCGAGCATTGCGCCTGTAACGTTACCAATGCCGCCGAGAACAGCCGCCGCAAAAGCCGCTACCCCTTTATAGTAGCCCATTGTTGGCGTAACCACTTCGCGCAAACCTACCATTACACCTGCAACCGCTCCTAAAGCTGAACCGATAATAAACGTTATAGCAATTACTTGGTTTGTCCTGATACCCATCAGATTTGCTGCAACCGGATTTTGCGCGCACGCCCGCATCGCTTTCCCGATTTTGGTCAGGTAAATTAACCTGTTTAGGGTAATCATTAAAACGAGTGCCAACGCTATAATAAACACGTCCCGATAAGGTAAGGTTGCGCCACCGGGGAGTAGGATCGCATTTTGACTGAGAAAGATAGCCGGGAGGGCTTCGGTAGGAAATTGAAGGGGACGGGCTGACCAAATCATTCGCGCCAGGTTTTGCAACGCAAGTGACACACCTATTGCTGTAATCAACGCCGACAAACGCGGTGCATCCCGGAGGGGCCGGTACGCGACCAAGTCAATCAGCATCCCTAATATTCCGCATAGAATCATACTAAGTGGCAACGCTATCCAAAACGGTATACCGAAGACTGTTATAAGCATGAGTGCGATATAAGCACCAAACATGAAAATTTCGCCATGTGCGAAGTTAATCAGTTGGATAATACCGTAAACCATGGTATAACCGACAGCGATGAGCGCATAGATGCCACCGAGTACCAATCCGTTAATAATTTGTTCCAAAAATTGTGCCATAATTCTCTTCTTTGGGTATTGGTGCTATAGAGGGTCTCTGGTGCCTCCATCTCTACATCACTGTGAGGAGAAAACCCGTTTTAAAATTATTCTAATTCAAGTAGTTGTTGATCGGCTGCAACAAATTCTCCATCTTTCACAATTTTCACGTAAGCTGGTTTATTAACCGTATCACCATTTCTATCGAAATAGGTTAACCCTGTAACGCCTGTGTAGCCTTCCTCTGGCGTATCCAAGGATGCCAAATGGTCGCGGATAGCTTTTCGATTCTCTGCAATGGATGCTTCCGGATTATAGGTTTTTTCAAGAGCTTCCGCAATCATTCCAACAGCATCATACGTCAATGCAGCCCACGTATCGGGTGCCACTCCGTGAAGTTCCTCAAAATTAGTTGCCATCTGTAGGGCGTTTTCTCCAGCTGCACCAAACGTAAAAGGCGTCGTCAGATGAGCTCCCTCTGCGGAGGCCCCTGCAATTATGAGGAAATCTGGTGAGTCCACACCATCGGCTCCGAAAAACTGTGCCGTGATCCCCGTCTCGCGCGCCTGTTTGATAATCAAACCTGCTTCACTATAGAGCCCAGAGACGAAAATAGCGTCTGGGTTTTTCGACTTAATACTCGTGAGTTGTGCTTTAAAATCGGTATTATCCCGATCGTAGGCTTCCGAAGCGACGAGGTCAAGTCCTATTCTTTCGGCTTCTGCGGCGAATGCGTTTCTTAAACCGCGCCCGTAATCGTCGTTATCAAAAAAGACGGCAACAGATCGCACCTCTGTCAGGATTTCGTCAATATATCGGGCGATGAATTTCCCTTGGAAATCGTCCCGATACAAGTTGCGGAATGTCCAGTCGCTTCCCTCGCAAACGGTCACATTTGTGGAGCCAGGCGACAGCTCGACGATACCAGCCCGTTTGTAAATTGGCTTACCCGCCAACGAGCAGGAACTGTTAAAGTGTCCAACAACTGCAAGGATTTGCAAGTTACTGGCGATGCGTTCTGCTACGAGGCTTGCCTCTGCATCTTTGCCGGCATCATCCTCAAAAACCAGGGCCAACTTCATACCGTTGATTCCACCGGCTTCATTGATTTCTTTCTCTCTGAGCTCGGCACCACGTTTAATCATCTCACCGAATGCGGCGGCATTACCTGTAAACGGAGCTGCTACAGCAACTTTGAGTTCTCTTTGGGATTCCTGTTTGTCTTTGCTTGCAGGTTGGCATCCCCAAGTGGATATAAGTCCTGCTATCAAGAATATAATAAGCCAATTTCTCATTTTTATATACCCCCTTCAGTATATGGTAGACCCTGTGCGTTATTAACCTGAATTAAGCCATTAAGGTTATCGTAGAACCTGCCTGAAGTCAAGCTTAAATTCCAATTTATCCTCTTTGCCGTTTGGATGGATTATCCGAACTTGAGGTATGACGATTCGAATATCTGTGGCGGCAGTCTCAAGTCGATCGAAAATTAGGAAACCGCTCCGTTTCGCGCCAGAGAACAACTTTGCACCTTCAAAGATGTGGTTCTCTATCGCGATCCGTCCCAACTCAAGTGCCTCTGCATCTATATAAGACTGATAGTGACCGTAATATGGATAGTAACCGTGAGCGGTAGGAATGTAAGGGTAAGCTCCCTCCGAGGAGTTACGCTGTGAAAGATTTACGTCGTCATAGAGTGAATCAAAGTAAGCGTTGGATAGATTGGCGTATTGCACGCCGTTTCCATCAACGAGGATGGCTGTGTCGTCAACTAAGACGCGTCGGTTATCCCGGTTATGGATTGTAATGTCGAACACCGTATAGATAGGTTCAACAGCACCACTCTTCTCAACCAAGAGATAGGGATTCACTCTCGGATCTTCAGTGAGTGCGAACAGTTCTACTTCATCAAACGGTTTAATAGTAACGGCAATTCCATTCTTTTCGACAGTTGCTGCCCCTGTCTCTGGGTTGATCTGTGCGTTAAAACGTCCCGAGATGGGCTCCATATAGACATCGACTGAGGGTTGCGGTACGACAGCACACCCTGCCAATAGCACTCCTATTAAGAGAAGCATACCGATTCTGCCTATAATCTGATACCGGAAGTGGATGCGATCTTTCGTACGGCTCATCAGTCTCATCCTCCTTAGGACTTACGCACTTCCTCTGGAAGTCCCCCTGGTAAGGGGGATTTAGGGGGTTAAATCACTGAAATAACCGACCTATTGGGTGAAATATATTGCTTCTTTGCGCAATTTGCGTAAATCCCGCTCCTTATACTTATATTTTACATCACGTGCGTTTTATTGTCAAAGGTTTTATAGTAAAACCTACAATTACTTAGACACTGTGGGCGAGGTTACAAACCTCGCCAGCGGGGTGGGACGGAACTGCCACTCTCTGAACTGTCAACTTATTTTTCGACTTTACTATAATTTTCTGGCAGTGGGATTCAGTTCTTCTGTAGGAGGGGGAAATCCGCACGGAAACGCCCAAGGAAAAAAACCCAAGGAAAAACACGCCGATTCTCGACTTCCCACTGGCGCGGTTTGCAACCTCATCCACTGATTATTTCTCCTGATAAGGGCGGTTACTGAGGGAGAACCGATTGCTGATGGAGAACCGACGGCTATTCTAAAATTCCCATTTTAATAATGTGGCGCGATTGTGCCAGACGAGCATCCCCATTCCGGTGCCGATGACTGCCCCCGTCACCACATCTGATGTGTAATGCCGTCCTAAATAGATGCGCGAGAAACCGACAAGTCCAGCACCGATGTAGAGCGGAATTCGTAATTTCGGATACTGATACCCTAAAATCGTTGCAACGCTGAACACAATAGATGCGTGGCCCGATGGTAAGGCGGGATTCCCCAATGTTTCATCCAACGGTCGTTTTCTGCCCACCAGCCTTTTCATGCCATACGTTATAACCCCAGCACCCATATATGCCGAAGACAGAAGTTTACCGGTTTCCCGATGTGAGTCATTTCCGTACGCCATAAGGAGGATAGATGCCCCCCATAACTGCTCGATAGTCTCCAAATTCTGTGATCCCTTCCATGAGTGTCCACGTCGGTTGTTGGCGTGGTGGGGCATCATAGATACGATCAAAGAGGGTCTGATCCCATCTTGATAGAAAGTCTTGGGCATTTGCTTCTGATCCTGTTATAATAGTACAGAAAACCAGTGTGCATAGAAGCCACGATTTAAGAGATTTCACTAAGGCATAACTGGCACACCGATGCTGCGTCATGAAACTGGATCCCGTCTATTGTGTCAAATCCGTATAGTTTTAAGTAGCATGCACGTTCGCGTTACAACACCGAAATGGAGATAGTAAGATGCGAATACGCCATACCGTGGTTGAATACGACCTTGAAGAGGCGGCAGCGATGCTTGGTATCTCACCCGGAGCCCTCAAACAGGCGGTCAGTACTGGGTACCTCCAGTATTACTACCGACTCGGTGAAGGTGAGTATCGGTTCCATGAGGCGAGTCTCCGCGCCAATAAAGACTTGCTTTCGCAGGAGGGGTATCTTACTAAAGTGCTAAGCACGTGTTCATCTTCAGAGACTACCACGGAGCCTGACGCATCGGAAGAGGATCCACCGTCCACGCCATCCGATCCATAACCCGTTCCTGCATCTCCAATTTAATAGGCGTACTATCGGAAGAATTCCAGAGATTGTCTGTTTCTTTATGAATCGAATCGTTGCTGGTCGCTACAAATCCAGAGTATATTCGGTCGATTTTCCATGCGTCCTTTGCCCTTCGAGGCTTGCGCAAATTGGGTAGGCGCGCTGAGGAAGCGCGCCTACGGGAAAATGATTTGAATCCTTATGATCTTCGTTAGTTTGCTTTAAGCTTGCCCCAGGTAGTTGCGAGTTTACCGCGTGCTTCTACTGCTGTGAGCGATGTGCCAAGACCGTTGTTCATAATATCATTGACCTCTTCCTCTGTCAAACCGCGTTTCCAGAGGTTAAAGTCATCCATCAGCCCGGTGAAAGGACGGTTGTCGTCGATGTTAACGCCGACGCGTGCCCCCGAATCCCAATCTCCTACGATAGGCGTGCCAACGCGAGCTGCTTCTTCACCGACATTTTCACCGTTGATGTAAAGCACAGCTAATCCTTCTGATCGGCTGAATGTTCCTGCGTAATGTATCCATTCATTGGCTTTGTTTTCGCCACCCCGGATGTCGAATATCGTTGTGCCACCGGGACTCCGATTGAGCCAACGATAGTTTCCATCGCCGCGTGCTTCGGGGTGTACAAGCCATGTATTATCACCTGCGCGAGCGTTAAAAATCGCCATGTCTGTGACGGATTCAACGTTGATCCACGCGACAAGACTCATGCCTTCGGTAGGGATGTCTTCAGTGTTAACATTGGGACCATCTAAATCCAGAAAACTGCTGGCTGCGAAAAGGGCGGCTTTACCAAACTTCCCATCGTCAGATTGCGTTACCGTCCCATTAATCGCGCCATCGTAGCCATGTCCAGATTTTTCAACGACGGTATCACCATCGAAGTCTTCATAATCGAAATATAGCACTAAATCCGGATCCAGAACCTGGGCGGATGCGGTCTGCATTTCAAATAGCGGGAATTCTGTGGTATGTAGACAGAGCACAGCTATCAGAAGTAAACACACGAGATAAGGGGTTAGTATAAAGTTCTGTCTCATTTTTCGAGATCCTCCTTTAGATGAACTATTCTTCTACTTTTTTCCAACATGTAGCCACTTTGCACTGGTTTTGCCTCACTTTGATGTCTTAAGTCTTCCCCAGGTAGTTGCGAGTTTACCGTGTGCTTCTACAGCAAGAAACGCTTCAACACCATCGTTCATGATGATATTGACTTCTTCCTCTGTCAAGCCACGTTTCCAGACGTTAAGGTCGTCCATCAGTCCGGCGAGGGGGCGGTTGTTGTCAATGTTATAGCCAACACGGGCACCCTGATCCCAGTCTGGTGCAATAGGCGTGCCGATCCGTGCTTTTTCTTCACCGACATTTTTTCCATTGATGTAAAGTATGGCTAACCCATCGGCGCGGCTGAACGTACCAGCGTAATGCTGCCATTGATTCGCCTTGTTATCTCCACCGCGAATGTCAAAGATAGTCGCGCCGCCAGGACTCCGATTGAGCCAACGATAGTTTCCCTCCCCGCGTGCCTCTGGGTGTACAAGCCAAGTGCTATCGCCTGCGCGAGCGTTGAAAACTGCCATATCCGATATGGCTTCAACGTAGATCCACGCGACAATACTCATACCTTCGGTGGGGATGTCTTCAGGCTTAACGTTGGGACCATCTAAATCCAAGAAACTGCCGGCTACGAAGTGGGCGGCTTTCCCGAACTTCCCATCATTGGATTGTGTGACCTTTCCATTAATCGCACCGTCGTAGCCACGTCCAGATTTTTCAACGACGGTATCACCTTTAAAATCTTCATAATCGAAGTACAGCACCAAATCCGGATCTAAAACATCAGCTGAAAAAACTTCTACCGTAGGCATACAGAGAGTGCCTATCAGAAGTAAGCACGCCAAATAAGGAGTTGGCTTATAAGTCAGTATTGTAAATATCAGGTTCCGTTTCATTTTTTGAGGTCCTCCTTTAGATGAACCATTTCTTCACTGTTTTACAAAACGATTCACGTACGTTAAAGTTTACCACTTTTCCATTCGGGTCTGCAATCGAAAACCAAAAAAATCTTGATTTTAACTTCTCTTTAGGGTAAACTGATTTAGGGAGTGAATAGAAAAAAGTGTCAAAAACAGGATGTTATGAGGGAGTGTACGGTTGCAAAGTGTAGGAATTATTCCAGCACGCTATGCCTCAAGCCGTTTTGAAGGCAAGCCGTTGGCGAGTCTGCTCGGGAAGCCGATGGTGCAGCATGTTTATGAAAGTGCATGTCGCGCGAAAACATTGGATGAAGTTATTGTCGCTACGGATGACCAACGGATTTATGATGCCGTAATACGCTTCGGTGGAAATGTTCAGATGACCGGTCCATGTGCAACAGGGACTGAACGAGTCGCCGTCGTCGCAGAGCGTTTGACATGCGATGTTGTTGCCAATATCCAAGGGGACGAACCGTTGCTTGAACCTGCACAGATAGACATGATGCTGCAACCCTTTATTGACAGACCGGAGGTACAAGTTTGCACGTTAAAACAGCGGGTTGAAACTGCTGTAGATTATCGAGATGTTAACGTCGTTAAAGTCGTTACAGATCTTCAGGGCGATGCGTTGTATTTCTCGCGTGCTTCTTTGCCTGGAAAGGTCGATGAGGCAGCGTTACATAAGTTCCCAGTGTATCGGCATGTCGGGTTGTACGCTTACCGTCGAGAGCAGCTTCTCGCGTTCACGAGATGGAGCAGTACGCCTTACGAACTCGCGGAGGGGTTAGAACAATTGCGCTTTTTAGAATATGGTGTCCCTATTCATGTCGTTGAGACTGATACGCCACTTATTGGGGTTGATGTTCCTGCCGACTTGGAGCGGGTGAAACAGATCTTGCAGTCTTCATAAGCTTCATAAGGAAATTTTCATGACAAAATATATTTTCGTAACGGGTGGGGTTATCTCAGGCATTGGCAAAGGAATCACGACGGCGTCCCTTGGCAGATTGCTTATCAACCGCGGGTTTAAAGTGATTGTTGTCAAGATCGATCCGTATCTCAATGTGGATGCAGGTGTGATGAACCCATTCCAACATGGCGAGGTTTTCGTCACCCATGATGGCGCAGAAACCGATCTGGATATAGGGAACTATGAACGGTTTCTCGGCATCGACCTGAATAAGTATTCTAACTTCACTACGGGTTCTGTCTATAGTGAAGTGATTGCGAAGGAGCGACGCGGGGACTACCTCGGTCAAACCGTGCAGCTGATCCCACATATTACTGATGAAATCAAAGGCCGTATTTATCAAATTGGGAAGGATAACGAAGCCGAAATCGTCATTACGGAGATAGGCGGAACGATTGGTGACTTTGAGATGCCACCTTTCGTTGAAGCCATCCGCCAGATGGCTGTTGAGGTCGGACGCGAGAACACAATGTTCCTCCATGTTTCTCTCATTTATACCTTACCTAATGGCGAAAGCAAGAGCAAACCGACACAGCATAGCATCCGTAAACTTCAAGAGTTGGGGGTCCAGCCAGATTTGTTGTTGTGTCGTAGTAGCGAGTCGCTGGATGAGGCATTTCGCCAGAAAATCGCGCTCCTCTGTGGTATTAGTGAAAATTATATTTTTGAGGGGTTAGACACAAAATGCGTAGATGAAATCCCCCTTAATTTTGAGAGACAAGGCATGGGGCATCTCGTTTTAAAGAGACTCGGACTTGAAGCACGCCCACCAATGGATGCTGAATGGGGCGCAATGGTTGAAAAACTCAAAAATCCGAAGCAGAAAGCTCGAATCGCTATTGTTGGAAAATACACAACCGGCAGCGACGCGTATATTAGTGTACAGGAAGCACTCAAGCATGGCGGGATTGCTAACGAAGCCGCTGTTGAAATTGAGTGGATAGAAGCGGAATCGCTTACAGAACATCCGGACCTTGAGAGTGTTTTTCAGAACGCCGACGGGATACTGGTTCCAGGCGGGTTCGGCTATCGTGGGATTGAAGGGATGCTGGTGGCTGCGCGATACGCCCGTGAAAATAAGATACCGTATTTGGGATTATGCCTTGGAATGCAGTGTTTGGTGATTGAGTTTGCTCGACACGTTGCGAAACTAAAAAATGCAAACAGCACGGAAGTAGATGAAGAAACGCCTTACCCTATTATAGATTTAATGCATGACCAGCGCGCGGTAGCTGACTTCGGCGCAACAATGCGACTTGGGCATTATCCGTGTGTCCTCAAAGAGAATACCAAAAGTTATATCGCCTATCAACAACCTATTATCGTAGAGCGCCACCGTCACCGTTATGAATTGAATAACCAACATCGATCGCAATTAGAATCGGCGGGTCTCTGTTTTAGTGGACTGTCGCCGGATGAGAGCCTCGTCGAAATTGCTGAGGTGACCGAGCATCCGTGGATGGTAGGTTCACAATTTCACCCTGAATTTCAATCCAAACCGCTTGCGCCACATCCGCTTTTCCGGGATTTTATCGCGGCGGTACTCTCCCACCAATGCAAAGTTAATCATCCTGAAGAGGAATAAGGCAATGAAAAATACTGCTACAGTACACTCCCGCGCCTGGTACGGAGACGAAGAACTGACGCTGAATTTTCCGACCGGCTGGGAAGTAGAGGTATTGGGTCCGAAGGAGGCTCCTGCGCTTTCTGATGCCCAAATTGAACGAGCGTTTGCCGAACCAATCGGTACACCCCGAATTTCGGAACTGGCGAAAGGCAAGAAGAGTGCCGCTATTGTCGTCGATGACTTGAGCCGTCCGACGCCTGCTGCGACAGTTATTCCATTTCTCCTGCGTGAGTTAGCTGCGGCAGGTGTCCCGAAATCCGAGATCCGATTTGTTGTCGGCGGCGGATCGCATCGCCCTCTCACTGCTGAAGAGGTGGCGAAGAAGATAGGGACGGATGTTGCCGCTGCGTATGAAGCGACGAGCCACGACTTTATGAGTGGCGATTTGCGCGCATTAGGAAGTCTCGATAACGGCATGCCGATCTATCTCAATCATGTTGTTGCAGATGCGGATTTCAAGATTTGTTTGGGTGGCATCTATCCACACGGCTCTGTCGGTTTCGGCGGTGGTGCGAAGTTGGTGGTACCGGGGATTGCCGGTTTCGCGACGATGTTCTATTTCCATTCGTTTTCCCCGAGTCGTGGTCATGCTGTGATTGAAAGACGGGGCAGTGAACCCGATCATCGCGATTTCTCCGAAGCCGTAGCAGGTGTACTCGGTCTTGATGTGATCGCTAACGTCGTGCTTAATAGCCGTCGAGAAATCTGTGGGCTGTTTGTCGGTGATTTTGTGCAGGCACACCGTAAGGGGGCATACTTCGCCTTAGACACTTACAGCACGGTGATACCGGAAGCGAGTCGAAAAGAGACGGATCTTGTTGTGCTTAACTGCTATCCACTTGACAGCGACCCGATTCAAACGGGCAAGGCTTTGTGGGCAGTTTCTCATTTTGAGAAGGCGTATCGGATGGCACTCAACCCTGCAAGTGACGGTATCTGCTATCATGGGTTGTTCGATCAGGTTGATTATGTCCGCTTCGTTCAGGAGAGAGCGGAAAGGACAGAATCTAAACTGCCTACGCCACAACTCGGAACTCAAGATCAACTTCATGTCTGGTCGGAACACTTTTTGGTAGACGATTTTTACAAAAAGCATCCGGGCGCGCTCCTCTTCCGAGATCTGGAGAAGTTGATTGCATTGTTTGCAGAAAAACTCCCGGCACGAGCGAAGGTCGCTGTTCTACCATCTGCCGGGATTCAGGTGCTGGCACCGGAGATATAAAGGTAGATGCTTAAAGAAAGCACGACTGGAAAATCCTTCCTCCAGAACATCAATACCTTCCTGGGTAAGATTGAGACCGGTTTGCTGTGTCTTGTTATCGCAATGATGTTAGGACTCGCGGTCCTCAAAATCGTCATGCGCTATGTGTTCAGCGCGAGTCTATTGTGGAGCGATATAATGCTTCAGCACCTAACCCTTTGGCTCTGTCTCTTGGGTGCTGCACTGGCTACTTGCGAAAGAAAGCACATCAGCATTGATGTGCTTAGCCGGGTATTGTCCGAAAATATCACGCGCTGGAGCAATCTTGTTGTCGATTGCCTCGCTTTGATTGTCGTTGGGATTTTAGCCTATTATGGCTTTATCTTTCTACATGATGAACAATTGAGCGATGCTGTATTAATTGGAAGTGTTCCTCTATGGTGGGCAAAGGCTATTATCCCCTACGGTTTTGTCCTCATCGGCATCCATATGCTCCTTCAGATTGGCATTCATTTAATGGGTGGTGAACATACTTCAAGTACTGTCGAAGGAGAATCGGACTGATGGGCTTAATAATCGGCATTGGATTGGTCGGATTCGCTCTTTTCGGCGGTGCACTTTTCGTCTTACTTGGTGGGGCTTCGATTATCGGATACGCTATGGCGGGCGAACCGATTTCAACGATCTTGATCGATTTCAATCGGCTCACACGGAACTCGACGATTCTGGTTATCCCGCTCTTCACTTTTGCGGGGTATATAGTCGCTGAAGGGAAGGCACCACAACGGTTGGTTGCGTTTGCGCGAGCGAGCGTTGGTTGGCTACCGGGTGGTATTGCTGTCGTCGTGCTCTTTACCTGTGCGTTCTTTACAACTTTCACAGGGGCATCCGGCATAACGATTATCGCTCTCGGTGGATTGCTTTATCCGATTCTGCGGCAGACGTATGATGAAAGGTTTTCGCTCGGCTTGGTGACGGCTTCTGGAAGTATAGGGTTATTGTTTCCTCCGAGTGTCCCACTTATCCTTTACGCGATCATCGCCCAAGTCCGTATTGACAGAATGTTTCTTGCGGGTATTATCCCTGGAATCCTAATTCTCGCTATACTGAGTTTCTACAGTTGCGGATGGAGTCTCTTCAAGCGGACCGAGACAACCCCCTTTGATTGGACAATTTTCTTGCGAACGCTCTGGGAAGCGAAGTGGGAACTGCTGCTGCCGTTTATTGTGTTAGGGGGTATCTTATCCGGTATTGTTACGCTGGACGAAGCGGCTGCGTTAACAGCTATCTATGCCTTTATCGTGGAGGTTGTCATCCACCGTCCATTTCATTGAGAGTGTTGCCGCGTATCGTCAAGGAAAGTACGTTGCTTGTAGGTGCAATCCTCATCATCCTTGGTATCGCTTTAGGATTGACAAACTACCTCATCACGCTTGATGTACCTACGGTTGTCCTTGATTGGATTCAGTCAACAACGGAAAGCCGCATCATCACACTTATTGGGCTCAATATTTTCCTACTGATTGTTGGGTGTCTGATGGACATCTTTTCGGCGGTGATTATCGTTGTGCCGTTGTTGCTCCCTATTGCTGAACAATTTGGTATTGACAAGGCACATCTCGGCATTATTGTCTTAACGAACCTTGAAATTGGCTATTTGACACCACCTGTCGGGATGAATCTATTCATCTCAAGCATGAAGTTTGATCGGTCTGTCCTGCTGCTTTACCGCTCTGTGCTATTGTTCATTGCATTGCTGCTGGTAGCACTTGTATTGGTGACGTATGTTCCAGAGTTGAGTCTGTGGCTACCGAAAGCTCTTGGGAAAACATCGCAACCACTTTTCTGAACCATCCCTTCTTCCACAAGCAAGATTTCAGTGTCCTTCAATAGCGTCTTGCACACGAGTTATAGTAAAGTCCACAATTCCTTGAACATCAGGGATGGGCGAGGTTACAAACCTCGCCAGCGGTGGAGTGGGGTTGGTGCCTCCTGAGATGTCTACATATTTTCGGGCTTTACTATAAAACGCAAGTTGCCCCCTATTTGACATAGCACCCCTACGGGGTGCGGTGGATCTGAATATACCGTTTTCTATAGATATATCACCCCTACGGGGTGGGAAAGTGCCTGAAAACCCTTCTTGAACTGTCCCAAACTTCTTAGTAGCAACTTGGGTTATAAAATAAAAAGTCTGGCGATAGAAATCGCCAGACTTAGAAATTAGAAATACAGTTTGCCCAACTGCGCTGTTATCGGGTAGTCTTTAGGTCACCCCATGTAACAGCCAATTTCCCCGCAGCTTCGACATCCAAACTGACATCCATCAATTCATTAATCTCATTTTCGTCTAACACACGTTGCCAAAATGAGATTTCGTCGATGATCCCCTCTGCACCGTTCGTGATTGGGACATATTGGATTGTTTCCCAACCGAATCTCGGTTTTTCGTGAAGTGCGGGGAAACCACCGGTAATGTTACGGCTGGTCGCTGCCTCTTTACCGTCGATGTAGACGAACGGGGCATCACCTGCGAAGTCCCAGGTGACAGCACAATGGAACCATTCGTCTTTTTTTATGACGCCTGCGGGGTCGATTCAATGTCTTGCCAGTCAGCATATCTGCGGCTTCAAAATAGAAACCGAATCTTCGGGATTGATATCGGCGTGCTTGGCACCCTTAGAGACGAAAAAGTAGATGCCTCCGAGACTGGCATCAAAATGCGATAATCCTCGCCATCCTTTGCCATCCCCAATCCGGGTTGAACCAGAACAGCAGACATCCCTGCCTCTGTGATAACGTGGGGCACTTCATGAAAGCTTCTGCACCTCTGATTGAAATTCCAGCAGCATATTTGCCCTCGCCTGCGACCCATTTTGCTGCGCCGCTGAACGCTCCATCGTTTCCATTGCCGGTGCCGTCAACAGCGTTGTTTCACTGCCTTCGCCAATCCACAGCAGCAGATCCTTATCGTCCGGGATTCCGGCGAATGCAGAAGTGATAACAAATATTACTAATAGTAGAACAGGTAAACCTGTCTCATACTTTTTGCCTCCCAATGTTAGATTTTGAGAGGATTTTAGCAGAAATCATAAATTAATCAACTGCTTTTCGGGACGGTGTGGTTTCCTGTTCAGGGGCTGCCTCTGGTGCAACCTTCTGTGTCGATTTCACAGCGGAAGCCACGTGTAGTAGTCGTTTTGGAAAACTGGTGTGGTTGCGGTGATACTGGACTTAATTTCGGACGGGGCCGGAACTGTGAAGCGGTTCCGGTGGTTCGTAAATCGTATGTATGGGCGTTGGCCTATTGAATGCCCAAGGACATATTCTCTGCTTTCAACAGGTTGCTCTTCATACAATCATATCTCCCATCTGTTGGTTCAACTTTTCTTGAACTTTCTGGCGGTTGTCTACGCGTCAAAGAAATCGTCTTTTAGCATTTGCGAACCCACCAATAACCATTCTCGGTACTGTTCAAATGTGGTTTTAAATTGTTCTAATGGGAAGTCCGGGTTGGCTTCCATTTCGTAGATAAACCGCTCCATATTGAGGCGTAAACTCTTGAAATACTGTGCATCGTGACTCAAATCTGCGACGCGGTCCGAAATCTTAAGAATGACATGCAGAAGTGCTAAAAATGCAGCACATCCTGCGATGAGTAGCCACGTTACTTTCCTGCTGGTGTCCCCCATGCCATCCATCCGACCATGACTGAGGCATAGTGGTGAGAGTCACCGTGCTTTTGACGACTCCATCTACGGGTCTCCACATTTGCAGTGCTGAGGTCATGAGGCTTTCCGGTGTAAGCACGCGGTAGAAGGTTTCAAGTGCTGTCTGCCAGAGAAGATCTTTCTGATAGTCTGCGGCTGTCCTGTCCATTATATGGATCTCCTTTCGGGAATGCATTCCGTTACAGTAGTAGGTGCCTTGTGTGCAATCACATAGGTCTAATATGTTGTTAGGTAACGAAAGAATTGGGAAATTCGTTAACAGATAATTTCCTTGCGGTTAAATGAAGTGGGACAGCACATTAACACTCTTCGCTTTAGAGTCGCCCTCCATTTCATTACGGGCTTGCGATCTTGGGCTAAGAAGACAGGGGAATAGTTTCTATCAACTCAGGGTTACACGCGGTGATGCTTTAGCAGTTCCCAGTTCGGAACAAAGCCGATACCGGGTCGAGACGGAACTGTGACATGTCCGTCGATTCTAAAACCATCGTTGGGAGAAACATTTCACCTCGTAATGGGTCAACGGCGGGTGGGTAATACTCTAACATCAAACCGTTGTCTCGGCTTGCAGCGATATGAATTTGCAATTCTTGTGCCCCGTGCGGCGCAATTAACTTTTCGGCTGTCAATGCTTCTTCTACTACCTGCAATGCTGGCTCATAACCGGGAAGGATGGCGACATCCAGATTGAAAACGTCCGCGCCTTCACACATCAATGAGCGTTTGGAATAGTGTAAACCGTATCCGTTTTCCCCAGTGGCAATTTGTATTCCATATCTTGTGCGATTTCGCGCAGTGCTTTGTGTCCTCTGTAATCGTGGCTGTGGATCGGCTCTTCAAACCAGAAGATGTCGTTTGCCTGCAGTACCGGAGGCATTCGCACGCCTTTTCGACCGACCATGCACAATTCGCGTCCACCATTAGGGTTGTATCGGGCCCGACAGTTTCGCGGACTGCCTCAATCCGTTTGGTATCTGTTTCAAGTCCGGCATCTGGATCTCCAATCTTCATCTTGACTGCGGTGGCATTGAATTCGTTTATGTTGCGCGCCATCTCTTCGCGAAGTTCATCAAACCCCTTACCTCTACCGTAATAGCCACCCGCAATGTATGTGCGGATGCGTTCTTGTGTGCCACCAAGTAGAGCGTGAACGGATTTTCCTTCTATCTTTCCGTGGATATCCCAGCACGCTTGGTTTATCGCTGCCAAAACCTGCGTATGATAGCCGCCAGGTCCGTAGATTTGTAGTTCTCGGCTAACCGAGAGACATAAGCGGTATCCGTTACATCCGCGCCCGATCAAGGTTGGGACGGAACAGATCTACAAACATTGGAAACAAGTGGAGGGGACGGGTCGCAGCGGTTCCACCGTTGAAGCCGTATCCGACCAACACATCATTTCCATTTTGAGCGGTAACTTTTACCAGATGGAGTCTACCTTTATCGTAGACATGCATCCCGTTCCAAATCGGTGGCTTGTCCCATTCGTAAAGTTCGCTTTCAACGGCAACGATTTTGAAAGAATGTGGCGGCATCATTTTCATCCTAACGCGGATCGGTAAAAAAAATTAACCGAATTCTATTATATTTCGTCCAAGTGATAATTTGGACTCAAAAATGCTGATTTTGAGCCAACGGATATATACATTTTCTCGCTGTTTTGGGTTCTAATTATATGCCATTTTCGGCAGTTTGTCAAAAGTAATCGTAGAACCTACCGCAGATACTTTGTTTCTTATTATTCAGTTCTTTCATATTGTTGATTCATTATGTTAAGTCATTTTTCATGAATTCAGCCTAAGGATTCTGTCATACTGTGTACCGGAGCGCGCATCTTTTACGTTAAATTCCTGTAAAATTGGAATGTGTTTTAAGGAGTTTGAATGTCGAAATTGACAAGGGAAAGTGTCGTAAAATTGGTAAATGTGAGAAGGACTGCCCTCTACAATGCAATGGGATGTCGGCACGGTAGCGTTCACTATAGAACTCCACGGTCGAAAGTCATCAACGCGGTGGCGTTGCAACGCTTCTATGGTATGCTATCAATTCGCTTCCCAGACGAAAATAACGGAGAGGCGAGGGTTTTTGCATTGCGTGTTTCCCAGGAAATCTCGCACCTACCGAGTATTTGTGCGCATGTGGGTTTGTCAATTCAGTGTTTCAATCCATTCACTGAGCACCCGTGCCATCTCTACGAAAACATCTTCTTCCGTTTTACGGCGTTTGAGCACTTTGAACCCGTGGTCGGCTGTGTCCAGCAGATGTAAGGTCGCCTTGTCGCCGAGGTTTTCGCAGACTGGAACCAACAGGTCGAGGACCGCCAATTTGTCGCGGGTGCCGGACAGGAACAGCATCGGCACAGTAACATCATCGAGGTGCTCGGCGCGTTCTGTTCCCTCTTTTCCAGAAGGGTGTAGCGGGAACGCGAAGAATACGAGACCTCGGACGTGTTCGATCGGTGCTTCTGCTGCTGTGAGTGAAGACATACGTGCGCTATAGGAGTGCCCTCCAACGAGAATTGATAAATCACCGGCAGCCGCGTGTGCAGCTGCAACAGCAGATCGCACGGTTGCCAGAGCCACTGCCTGTGATTCCCTACCCCCGCCGCCACGTTCCATGTAAGGAAACTGATAACGGAATGTAGCGATTCCTATATCTGCTAACCGTTCGGCGATCGTCTGGAGCGTTGAATGTCTCATAGTCGTACTCGCGCCGTGGCCGAGCACCAACAGCCATTTCGCGTCGTCTGGACGTATCAGTATTGAGGAGACCTCGCCTTTTTCTGCCGTCGCGATGAATTTCGATTCAATTGCTTCGTAGTTCATTTTTACCTCTGCGGTTTTTTATAAGAGTCGCGAGCACAGCTCGCTCCTACATTGGATTCTATATTAAGCACCGCTGCACGATGTCTCGATAGGTCTCTAATTCCGCAATCTCCAATTCTTTTACCTTTGCGAGATCGTCCCATCGTCGTAAGGTGAGGGCATCCCGATAATGCGGGATTTGTTCAAATGCCGCTCGTTCCTCGTCCGACATGATACCCCCTTGGACTTTGAGGCTCCTTTTTGACGCATCGGATAATCCGTCATAGTAAGATGCATCGGTTGCACACAAATACCTTTTCGCTGGGACGTGCAACCTGATCGGTGTTGTAACCACTTCCGGGAAAAACGGTTCCAGATACTGCGCGCCGATCTCCTCGTGATTCAAATCTATGTCCAAGAAAGCTTTATCGGTATTATGTTCATCTAAGATAATATGCCCGATGTCGTGGAGTAATGCACCGGTAGTCAGCGTGGAGCTGGCATCGTTCTGCTGCGCGAGAGCGGCGCATTGGAGCGCGTGCTCTAACTGCGTCACGGCTTCATCGTAAAACGACTGCCCACGTTTTTCCATGTAGCTGAACAGTGTATCAACCTTGTGTTGAGCGGTCGCACCCGTCATTTCCTGCGCGAGGCTTGGATCAATGTAATTATGCATGGTTTATCACTTTTCCTTGAAAATGTGCGATTTTACTAATTTGCGTGTCTCGGTTTGAGCCGTCTGTTGCATATTGCGAGAAAGCCTGCCGTTTATCTGCGTAATACTGTTCACGCCAGTCGCCTTGGGAGTTGGCGTTGTAAGTAAGATAGATAATTCGTCTCGGTTGGTTTGAACGGTTTGTAGGGCTCTTGTGCGGGATGTAAGAACCAAAGAGAAGTATATCCCCCGGATCTGTCGGCACGGCGACCCACTCCATCGTCAAAGCGGTTTCGGGGGCGACGCATCCCTTTTCGTCCAGTGCGATGAACCCTTCTTGGTGTCTACCGGATGCAAAATAGAGACAGCCGCTTTCGGGTGTCGCCGAATCCACCGAGATTAGACAGGTGATATGGTAGTTGACGAACTCGTAAGCGGGCGCGTCCTGATGCGCCGTGTAACCACCGCCGCCGGGGTACTTGTAGTTAATTTTCTCTTTGTAGAGGACTGCTGGTTCTTCCATCAACTCGGAAACGACATCTAACACTTTGCCGCCCGTCACAGTGTCTTTCATACCGGTGTGGTATGGCACAAAATTTTCTGAACGAGAGAGTCGCGCACCATCTGGTGTCGATTCGTAGTGATGCATCCACTTGTCGGGTGTCGATTCCCATCCCGAAATTTCAGAGGCCCATCCCTGTAAATCGTTCACCTCTGCGGCGGAGAAAAAGGTGGGGATTTTGAGGTAACCGTTGTTTTTCCAGTCTTTCTGAAGCACTGGATTAAGGTGAGACATAATCCTTGTCCTTGGAGTTAATCTTCTTGCGTGCAAGTGTAGCGTATAGCGGATTTTTTGTCAAATTTTAAGGGACATGGTGGGGAGCCGTACGATTGGAAACCGGGGTCCCCACCGGTTACTGGGAAGATGCCTTGCCTTTTAATCTTGACTGGTACGCTTCGCACTAAATTGTATCGCGTTGGTAGCGTCTGCTATTTCCATCCGATAGTCCCATCCACCTTTATAGTCCCCAGACTGGATCGTTAAGGTGTTCCAGCCAGTTTTCAAAGGTAATTCAAAGTGAGCCCATCCGCGAAACAGATGTGAACCCGGGGTGGACGCTGCGGCAATTTCAACACCATTAAGAAAGAGTTTTCCCAGATTACACCCCCACCCAATCTGTGCAAACACACGCCGCGCATCGGGACTCTTGATATAAGACATGCCATAGCCGAATGCCCACTCAGGATTCCCAAAGGCATCGTCTAAGTTAATCCGTTCCGATTCAGAGACGTGTTCTTGCCAAGCGATTTCTCCTGTTTGTCCTTGATAGATTTTATCAGTTTCGGATTCCGGTAACGGTGTTGTAAGGAAATTTGGCGGCACTTCGTTCGTATTCGTAGGTGCTTCTGTCACACCGAGGTCAAAGGGACCGAGAAGCATCCAATTTTTGAGCACGTGCATATTTGATCTGTCAATCGGATGAAACAGGTTCCTACCGCTCCTCAATTGTTCCCCACCATACGCAATCGAGTAGTCGTAGGTCGGGAGTGGTATTAAGGCATCAGATGGGACTGTAAGGGCAACAGTGCCTTTTGTCGTTTGTCCCGGTTTCACTTGAAAAGTTAACCGATGTGGTGAAATCTGCCAATTCTCACTTGGATGGAAAGCGATTTCGACCTCTAACTGTTTTTCGAGAGTATTTTCGAGCGAGATTTCGAGATTTCCGTTGGAAAGCGGTTGAGTGTTATCAATGTTAAAGTGAGGCTTAAAAGTGAGTAGATTCGCGAGACTCTCTTTGAAGGTTGCGGTTGAGATGTCTGCGGGGTAAATGTTCCCCGGCTTGACGATCGCGACATCGACATTTTCACCATCTACGGTTACAATACTATAATGATCAAAGGCACCGGCTTCAGGTGCTTCTTGTGGGGTCAATCCACCACCTGTCGCACTCAGGACAAAGTAACGGTGGTCGTTGCGGGTATGCAAGGTTAAATTATGGTAGTGTCCAGCGAAGACGGTGTACGCTCGGTTTCCGAGGGCTTCTTCAATCTGTTCCCAACCCGAGTTTTCGTACAACCATACAGGTCTGTGCAACATGACAAATGTATGCCGGACATCCGGATGTTGTGCCAATTCATCTTTCACATACTGAGTCTGTGCTTCTCCAAACCAGCCTTTCTCCCAGTCCCACTCCTCTGCCTGTAGAGGATGATGCCATTCCTCGGTATTCAGCATTATAAATAGACAATTTTTATATCTAAACGCCGAATAGGTACGTCCGAGGTGTTCTTGCCAATATTGGTACATCACTGGATTGGTAATGTCGTGGTTGCCGGGTAAGGACAGAAATGGAACGATTAAATCGGATTCGTGTTGCCAGAATTCTTTCCATTCCGCTGCGAGTTGTTCAGGGTCTCTTGTGTCTCCTTGGATCAAGTCCCCAACCATGATGGCGAAATCGGGTTTTAGGACGTTGATTTCGTCTATGGCGCGGTCGAACACTGGCCACTTATCTAAGCCACCTCCCGTTTTATCTCCGATAATAGCGAAACTGAACTTATCTGGATCGTCCGAGAATGGACGTTCAACGATAGGCATTCGTTCCGGGAAATTGGGTGTTTGAGCAATGACTGTGGCAATTAATGCAAGGCATATAGCAGGAATCACCACAATTTTCAGTAAGTGCGCGGACTTGGGCATGTCATTCTCCTTAGGCACGTAAGTTGTGAAAGCATATTCCTTGAAGATATTCTACTTCTGTATGAGTGTAGCACCTCTAACACTTGTTGTCAAATTTTAGCGAGGTGATGTGGTTTCGACATCGCACCTGAATCTTCCATCGTCACTTTTCAATCGGATTCTGTAATGGGTATGACATCGCATTCAACTTCATCTGCCATACCCGGGTAGGTTTCACCACGAATCCACATGGGCGGTCGTTTTTTATTTACAGCCTCAGGACGTGTCCATTCTGCTTTGGCACTGATATAATGTGCATATGTTTGCACGTCTGAAAGCGTAGACTGTGGTTATCAGCACTTTTATGGAGGATTTGGCTATTAAACCAGATGACCGCTCCAGCAGGGACTTCTACCGCAACCCCATCTTCATCACGAACACCTTGTGCCTGTCTAAACTCTCCTTGTTGTGGACCTTCAAGTTCCTTGTGTTCATGAACTTCATACCTATGGCTGCCCGGGATAACGTATAGACACCCGTTTTCTTTATCTGCTGCATCAATTGCGGTCCATGTTGCGACTGTCGTTCCGGTTTTAAACTGGTGGTTAAAATACCATTTATCTTGGTGCCACGGGAAACCTAAGCCGATTTTTGGAGGCTTCCAAATATAGAGATTGTTGAGACCGAGGATATCTGGACCGAGTATATCAACAACGGGGTCGGTTAGACGGGAATCGCGCGTATCGATCGAGGAATTCTGGGCAATTACAACTTACATATTGGATATTGTGTATCGCGTAGATACCTTGTTCTTTAACTTTACCGTCTCTGACTAAAGCGTTTTGAAAGATATGATAGTCTGGGAAGGGTCGTTTTCCATCAACAATGTCATCAGCGATTTGACCTAAGATGTCGTTTTCTTCTTTTGTAAAAACGTCATAACGGACAAAGTATCCGTTCTCGTCCCAAGAGGATCGTTCTTCTGGCGTCAAACTAAACTTCCGTTCCTCGGCTGTTGTATTTGTGCGCATCAATCCTCCTTTAATATTCGTGTCTTCTTCATTTTCTCTTTTGTTGCCTATTCATTATATGCGTCCACATGTCCGCAGTTTTTTGGTTGTCGATTGCGTTGTATACTCCGTAGACTCTACTACATATTATACAATGGAATACTCTATGTATTCAAACAATTTCCTCTCTGGTAACGTCTCTATATAGGTGGTGTTATAAGCAGGGTTTTACATTCGCTCTTGGTTTTCTGAAAACTCGCTGTCAATTCTTACAAGAAGTCGTCTGTGATGAATATCTGCCATTTTAGTGAAGAAAATCACCTTGTGTACCGCTTTTAAATCAGACTTTTTCCCCGCTTTTTTCATTCTATACTTTGCTAAACATACCCCTAATCGCCGTCCACTCGAAAGGAATGAACTTGACTCTGGCTGCCACTCTAATTGCACTCTGGCTGTGACTCTAGCTCTATAAGCACCACCCGCCAATTTGTAACACAAATTGACCGTATAATTTAGCGGTTGACTGTGGATATTCACGTTCTTTCCCTGCCCTGGTAAATTTTCCTTTTCTCAAATCAAGGCACCGTGTCAAAGGGTAATAATCATATAAATCGTACCATGGGACAATAGGGGTTGACTTGGACAAAGCGTCGATTTCGTCCAAGTCGCGACTTTTCCCGGTGCGCGACACACACCAGAGAACATTGAGACACAGATTTTCGGGTGCCTGTCAATTGCGTTGCAAGCAGATAACGCAATTCCGTATCGTGATGTGTGCCGAGCATGCCAAATTTTGCGCCTGCGTCAAGCCTACCTGTTTCTATCACTTTCGAGAGGGGTTCATCACACACACACGAGCAAACTTTCAAATGCGTTCTATGGGCATTTACAGGCGTTTTTTCTTTTAGCAAAGCGCAATGATGCCGTTTTCAGTGTTGCGAGGTTGACAGTAGAAATTTCGAGTTGGGCGCGATGATATGGGAAATGTGTGCTGTCAGCTGAAAAAAGCATGCTTTTGCGCTGAGTGGATGAGGTGTAAGCTGCCAACGATCACTCCACGACAACGAAACCGGTTTTCATGTGCCTCACCGAGTGCACGCGCGACGCACTGGAAAAAATCGGCGCGAAGATGCTGTGTCACTCTTTAGGGCTTTCACCTCATGCGTGAATCATGTCGTTATGTCTGCTACGTTTATTGCCTTTGTTTGGGACACATGTTATACTGTTCAGAAACCTATTTTTCGGTTGATCGGAGTTTGACTGTCTGCCCTTCCTACCCATTCGGGCGAGGGGAGGCGCAAGCATGAATTCGTGGCTGCTAATGTTCCATTGAACTTAACCTAAAGGGCGAAAGGTTAAGTTCATAGTTATATTTTGCAGTGAAAAGTCAACCTAACCAGCTTTTTTGAAAGAAGAATAATTAATAAGGAGGATCTAAAGATGGTAAAACGCCCTAACAAATCTGTGCTTATCGATGCCCTTGATGAATACCGCGATGCCATGCGTCCCTTCATTGTCCGTGCTATGAGACGTATCAAAGGGGAAAGGGTTGAAGACGCGATTTATGATACTTTGTCAACGAAACAGGCAACTGATTTTGAAAGAAGCTTAGAACAGAACGGTGGCAACATTGAAGGTGCGATTGACATTGGCGATTTTCCCAATCTTATCAGCAGGAATTGGGGGAGGGTTTTCAGCCAGCAGTTTAGTGGTGATATGAACATCCAAAGCCTGCTTTATATTATTGCACGAGCTAGGAATAAAGTTTCACACCCGGACACCGAGGATTTAGATGCTGAATACACGGGCGTTGTTTTATACCATATTGTAGAAGTCCTCGGCGAGATCAACGCGCCTGACGCGAGAGCGAAAGTTGAAGGATTTCGCAATAAACTTTTACAGCCTGAAGAATCAAATCCCTTGATCCTTGACCTTCCTGATGATACAAAAGCCGAACAAAGCATCTATAAGGAGTCTGGCAGCAAGCCTAGGCAAACAACACGTCAGGGAAGAAAACTGAAACACGTTTGCGTGTTACTGTGAGTGATCGACCGGAGAAGTATAACACTTATTTTCAGGCACTGCTAGATGAGTTGCGGGAACAGCATAACTTTACCAGGGCGCGTCGTCCTGGGAAAAGTAATTACTACAACTTTGCGTCAGGCTTTGCGGGCATTACATATGGCGCAAGATTTCCCAATGCGGGAACCGTGTATACGCAACTGAAGATTGATTTTGGAAAGGGAAAGAAAAAAACAACCAAAAAATTCTTTGATTTCCTCAAAGAAAGGGAATCTGAAATCAATACGAGATTTGACGCTTCCTTATACTGGGACCGGCGCGACGACATAGGAGCATCCCGAATTTATATCGAGCGCGACGGCACTATTGACGCCAATGAAAGTGAGTTAGAAGCCATTAGAGCATGGCACGTTGAGAATCTCCTGAAATTCAAGGTGGTGTTTACGCCTGAAATACAACTGGCACTCGAAAAACTGAAATCCAGCTGAGGAAGGGTATCGGTCATGGTTAGGGCAGTTGTCTCAGACAAATAGTATTTTCTGCCGATGAACTTTTGCTGTATACGTTCTGTCATACTACCACTCGCCAACCGTTATCACGGCGCGTACGCTGATTGCGCTTTGAACATTATAGCACCACCCTGACCGGAGTCTCCGTTGGGCTTGCTCGCAGGAATCAAAACAGCTGCGCACAATCGACACATTTATATTCCTTGCAAACCTAACGCTGCTGCCTCTGTTTCTCGGAGTTTGTCCCCAGACAAGCCTCGATGATCGTACCCGATGCGTCATCTAGTGCTTCGTCAAGTTCCAAATGATAGGTATAAAGTTCGAATCGTGGGTTACCTGACGAGTGTTCTGCTGTAGGAGCGAGCTGTGCTCGCGACCTTTTCACCTATCAACTTGACGTGACAAAGCACTAGGTGTGATTCTCCGATCTCCGCTACAGGCTTGTCTGCCAAAGTTGGTAGTGGTTGCGGATCTTCCTGCCGAGACCGTGATGATAAAGGAACAACTCCTGTCTCGGTGACAAGAGCATTTCTATTTTCTGGCTCGTTGAGAGTTGGATACGTCAGATACTATCGAATCCATACGTTTTTCAGTCATGGCTACGACCTCTCCAGTCTACGTGCGGTAAATGTTCTATATCGTCAGAGGCAACTTGCTGCGGATGTACTCCCATACCCGGACTAGTAAATCTGCGGGAGTTTTCAGGGCTCAAGCCGTTCGCTGTCATGTGTCAGTTCCAGAAGGCAGGCATCTGTTGAATAAGTTTTTTCGTGTGTGGCGGTAATCAGTAGGTTACGCACTTGGCAGGAGTCTCTCATCTCTTTTCTGACACCAAACTTTTTGAGGAACTTGGGATCTCGCCCCGGTGCGTAGAGAGCGAAGCGTGGATTGGGCATATTAGTAGCGAGTGGATGCTGGTAAAATTGTTAAGGTTTGGCAGGTTGTGTATAGGCTTCCTATTGCTATCTAATTCCCTTCGATATGTTGATGTGATAGAGTCACCAATCTATCGCCGGTCCGCGGCCCGAGCCGCCCCCCCCCGCCCGGCTCCGGGCCCCCCCCCCCCCCCCCTCGCCCCCCGCGCGCCCAGTATCCTTGATCTCCTAAAGATCGAATCCAATCTATAAATTCATCAACCATGTCATCTGGAAAATTACACTTATGGCCCATGCCTACTTTGCACAAATCAAAGCCACAAAAGTCCGATATTTTGCTGGTATCTCCGGACCCTTACCACCGTACATGTAGTTCATCGCTTATAAGCACTCTGTCAGTCTTGGTATCATTATAGATATTTCTTGTGTTTGGAGTACCCATGGATAACTATGATGTGAGTCCAATTGGTGCCCCTTCCTATTATGCCAAGTCCTGATAAGAGATGTTATCTCCAAAAGCCTGTGCTTCCCTCTCAGTTTGGCTTCTTTGCTCACACTTGGATCCAACAATAGTGTGTTGAATGGCAGACTTCCTTACTTGCATACGAATACGAGGCACCCCCTCACGCCTGCTGAGTTTTTGAACCCGTTCCAACAATCCAGTTTCCGACTTTAGCGCACTTTCGGATTCAGGGCTTAAAACGTCCCAAGTCAGAATTGATTAAAGGGTTAGGAGCAAAACAATCTCTAGCTACGATGGTAGAATATAGTTTCAGACGTTAAATCTAATCAACACCCATATCTGCTTATGGAGCGAGGGTCTCTCATTCCACCGGTTGGTTTATACCAAGTCTCTGATTCTCCAGTAATAGCATCTATGATGCTCTCACCATTCCATCCGACCAATTGCATCTCCATATTCTCTCGTGCATTCCGGCATTGGCAACTTTCTCGCACCGTATTCCCAAATGCCTACTATACGTTTCCCTAACTTCTGACCGTTCAATGTCCCCAGCGTTACCCATTCGCTTTTGCAAGTTTCATCTGATCTGGCGTTTATCTCCTTTTTTACATAATTCTCTTTTTTCAATCACAGTGCCGCCCACTCGTTGTTCATGTATTTCGCCCTTTATGTAGTCAGGTTTTTAGCTCTGTTAGGCTTATCAGATGTGATTGATGAATCACGCATCTGTATTCCATGGTTAGCCACTAGATCCTTTACTTTAGCAAGCCCTTCATCATCCTCATGAATGTGACTTATGAATACATTCTTAATTTTGTCTGGCATAAAATATTCCTCCCATCACTCACTTCCGGTAAGTGTGCTCTTCCGGACATGCGATATTGGTTTCGCCGATTATCCACAATCTCTAGTTCGCGCGTGGTGACGCATAGTACATTTTTTGTTATTTCTTTTTTGAATTGGAGCATTATTGGTGGACTTTTCAATCAAAACGCGTGGATTCTATAAGGGCAATCATGCAGAAAAGACACTTTAAGGTAATATCACCGGAACACACACCGACAATGACACATATCGCTTGCAATCAAACTTCATATCCTATGTACCTTCTACCTCTCTACTGACGTTTCATCTTGAGTTCTCACCTCTCAAACCTCAAACATATGATATGCTCCTAACTAACTATGGGAAAATCAAAACGTGAGAGAGCAAGAACGCCGACAACTCTATCCTTCGTGTTAAACAGAACCTGAGTCGCGTGAAGGTGGTACGAAATGAAAATGAATTAGCGTTCTGGTGGTCCACACTTTGACGCCTTGGTGTGATACTTTGCTAAGGAGTGGCTTTCACGCATTTGGAGTTCCAACAAAGAAGCTGATGAAAAAGCAGCGTGGGTGATGTATATTGAACTATGATCCCAGAATTATTTACACGCAGCCGTTGCCTCCGGAACATGGTGATGAGAAGAACTTGCACTAAAATAAGTGTTTTTTCACTGTTTAAAATCACGAGAAAAGTGCTAAAAGAACATGGGAAAGAGTGCGATGCATTTCCCAAAATAGCAATTACAATTCTCAATCAAGTTCGCCGCTTCACGGCAAAGTGGCATCCAAAAAGCATCAACGGTGACTTTGATAACCCGGATGAACGTGCTGAGTTTCAGAGAAGAGCTTAGAGTCTCTCCAAGAAATTTTGAGGCTGTATACGGAATCTTGGCAAAGCTGGCGAAAGTCGAAGATATGACTACACTATCAAAGGAGTAGTATATGATGCTAATTTCACGAATGTCGTTCCCTGACAAAGAACCGCTTTAAAGCCAGTCAACGCGCCGATTTCAACCCGAATGATGAATCAATAGTGTTTATCTCTTACAAGCGCAGTCCTGATATGCCTATTGCGCTGGAATGTGCTGAAAGATGAGAGGATGTAGACGGATCACCTACTGGATAGATGAAGAAGATGAGCTGTATGCCGATGCCCATCCAAGAGATCTGATCTCATTATTGCCGCGAATGTATTGAAAAGGATAGATGCCTCATCAGCTCTATGGGTGTATCGCGTCCTGAAACATTGCTGCCTCTCCATGGGTTCCTTATTAAAAGGTAGCGTCGAGGATTCTTTTTGACAGCGATTTTCTATTCTCTTTTATCCGAATTCCCCGTACCTCATCCGCTACGCTATCTTATCCATCGGTATATAAAAGATTGCCCCCGATTTGTTGCTCTTGGGAGCCGCTTGGTTTCTTTATGAGAGGTTTATCAGGATAACTCTATGGGAAGAAGTGTTTGCAACGATTCTGCACGACGGTCTCTGAAGCGTCCGGGTCGCAAAGCAAATTATTGATTATCAAGGTCAATTCCGAAATTCCTATGGGGTTGAAGAAATATATAAGAAAAATTACCGAACATATATATTCTATACATAATCAATAGGTGTCCGTAAATAGATATCCATGCCAAAAGCGCACGTTCCATGACATATCTAACTTGTGCATTCGTGTGCTTTTTCTTGAATCTCACAAAATGGCGTCTTTTGGGAACTCTTCAGTGAAAACAACCGCCAGACGAAAACACTATTGGCGCTCGCTCTAGTGGATTACGACCTCTCCAAGCTGCGGATGAATTGATACCGATTGTAGCCGAACGAATTATAAGATCGGATGAAATCGGATTGATTTTTGTGTTCTAACCCCTAATTGGATGACGAAAATGTTTTGGCGACGCGAACGTTCCACTTTCAGGACAAAAACAGGAATACCCAAGATGATGATAACAGAAACACTATTCAAGCAGTCGTAGGGCTTCTTCGATCTTGTTTTTCAATTCTACATTGCGTGTCTGCGTTGCAAGTTCAATGCCAGCGGAGAAAAATCCGTGAAAAAGTTCTTTCATGCTTAATGCCCGATTGTAATAAGCAAGTCGTCATCCCGGGTGGAGACGAAAAGGCAGGTATGATAGTCCTTGACACAGCCTCATTGATTGACTGAGGTCGAAGCCCTTTGCCCCAGCCCCAGCATACGATAGGCAAGGCACTACATTTTCGCGTGAGACGAACAACAGTATCATAGTCCTTGACGGCCTCATTATATTGACTGAGTCGAGCCTTTGCCAGCCCCCGCATACGATAGGCAAGTGCATCATCCGAGTTGAGACGAACAACAGTATCATAGTCCTTGACGGCCTATTAATAACCGAGTCGAGCCTTTGCCATCCCCCGCATACCGTAAGCAAGTGCATAATCGGGGGGTGAGTGTTTTTTCGTTTGAGGACGAACAGCAGATCATAGTCCTTGACGGTTTTTTTATCTCCCCTCATTATATTGACCGAGATCGAGCCTTTTGACCAACCGATTACGCTAGGCGTGTATTATTCTCATTCGGGTTGAGGGACGAACAGCAGTTATATAGTCCTTGACCGTCGCTTTTTCTTTTTCTACTCATTAATATGACCGAGTCGAACCTTTTAAACACCCCCGATTACGATAGGCGATGGCATCATTCGGGTTGAGACGAACAGCAGGTCACAGTCCTTGGTTGCCTCGTGTGTTGCCCGAGTTTCTGCCTTAGCAACCTCCTCTGATTGATGGAGGTTTTCGTAACTCTATTCAAATTCTTTGAAAGCGATAAGGCTTGAATGTCATTAAGTGTCTCTTTCCATTGCTCTCCATATTCGCAATGAATTCTGCCATAGTTGG